AAAAGAGTAATTTCTTTAAATGAGTTAGTTTAGGTGCACTTTTAAAATTGTTTAAAAAATATTAGTTTTGAGATATATTAAAACTATTTTATATATACCCTAACCGTTCAAATGAAGGAAAAAAAAAAGGAGTTTACTACTATTGTGATATCCTAATCTTTATTTGCAATTAGTTAAAGAAAATAGATCATAATTTGTATTAAGTTTAAAGTTAAGAGTCCTTTATCTCATTTAGAATTATGGATTAATCTATAATAATTGTTAATTATGGGGTCTACATCTTATTTTAATAACTATAGACCAAGTGTCTATTATAGGAAGATTTAGTGCAGTTCAGCTGTCCATAATCTATTAAAATAAATAACAGGTGGTTGAATGGGAAGTGGGCCAAGTGGAGAGCATTTAAGACCCACTTGACTGAGTCTTCTTGAACCATATCACTAAATTAGCTATTTTTTTATATTTTGTCTATAGCTGTATCGAAAGAAAAGGAGAAAGAAGGTGCAAATAAGTTGGGCAAATTTGGGGAATATTGAAGAATTGTGTCAAACTCAAGATTTTTGAACAAAGTGTGTGGTAAGTGTGATTTTTAATTTTAAGTCTAGGTTGTCAAACAAATTTAAAGGTAAATAAAATAATAGAATAAGCATAAGAAATTAGGCTGTTGCAATTTAAATTACATAACAAAAGAGAGAAATAAATATGGCCAAAACCTCTATTTGTACCCTCCATTTAATTCTTTTTCGCGGTCAACACCTTCCAAAAATTTTCTTTCCTATTCACACCCTCAACTTTTCAAAACCCGTAAAAAGCCCAATATTTTAACGGACTATAACGAAAACGTTAATAACTGGTAAAAATTATAATGTGTGGCATCAAACAGTAAAATAAATGTTATGTCACCTTGTTAATCCAATGTCGACTTTTTTTTTTTTATGATGTTGCATAATTAAATCATAATTAATTTTAATTTCTTCATTTTCTTCTTTCCGGCATCGTCTTTACCATCTTCCTTCCTCTTCATGCTCCTGGGTTCCTCATGGAACCAGGAACTCAGGACTAGTGTTGTCAAAATCTAAATTTAAATCGTAAAATCTTACAATTTTACGATTTCAGCAAAACATTTCATGTAAAATTTATACCAAAATCGAAAATTCATAAAATATGGGGTCAAAAACGTAAAATTGAGATTTTACTGTGAAATAGGGTAAAATCAAGATTTTACCCTCTATTTGGTAGCTGGACTTTTTGCCTATTTCCTTTTGGGCTTCTCATCTTGAGTTAGTGGGCTTTGACTAGATAACGCATAAATTAAGCCCATTTTTTATTTTAAAAACCCACGACCCACACAACCCAACCACAAATCAACATTTTAATCGGGAATTTGGGACAAATTTGATTTAACCATCTAAAATTCTAGATCTAAGTCATCTTCTTTAGTCATCTTCTTCGTTTAATTTATTTGTGTTGTTGGATATTTAGATTTTAATTAGCTAATTTCAAGTTTCTAACTCTAAATTTGATTTATTGTTGTTTAATTTTGATTTTATATAATTTATTATATATATATATATTAAATTTTGTAAAATCTCAATTTTACCG